CCTGTATATTCACAATAGATGGCGAATACATCCAGGGGGATGGGATGCGAGAACGTAACAATATAATAAATAATAAATGTGATAAATAATTAAAATATAATGACTTACATCATATCTTATTGATCCATTCATTTCCAAGACCTTCTTTTTTTCTTTTGTTTCACTTTGTCCTCGTGGCACTCCAATCCTCGTTGCACTCATTTGAATTCCTCGTTGCACTTACACTCATTCACGAAAAGTTTATCGTTACACTTACAATTGTGGTTAGAGAAAGAATTTGATAATATATGAAACGTCAGATCACTACCTCACTTCTCGAGAGCCATTGAATGATCGTAAGTCAGAAACATTACTGCGATACTGTTTGTATCGCCAAGGCCGACTTATATTATTGTTATAATTCGTTGTTAAAATATTCTACGAGTGATTGCCGATTAAGAAAATTTAAAGCATTGGTCGAAATTTATTTAATTAATAAGAATCGTTAGAGAAATTATTATAATAAGCATCAATAATCGAAAGATCATAATAAAATTAATTTCTTTATCACCTTTTATGTTCCCTTTTTCAATTTTTATTTACAGTAATTAATGATTGCGATTCGATAAAGATTTATCGTTGCGATATATTTTCATGACGTTTATCATAAGTTAATTTATTTTTAATTATTAGTAATTGTATCAAATTATGTTTCAATACTAATCGTGTTTAGAAAAAAAATTCGACAATATTCGAAGCGTTTCGCACCACTTTATCACTCGAATATCACCATGCAAATGATAATAAAATCGTAACATATTAACAATAGCGCGCTATTGTTTATATTGCCAAAATCGAACACCGTGTTATCCATAATTCGTTGCCGAAATATTTTAAGTACTATAACATATACTGTTATACATGAAAATCTTAAATTGTAGAAGTGTTATACATGAAAATCTTAAATTGTAGAAGTTTTTCAATTTATAGATTAATTAAACGATTATTTATTAAACAATTAATTAACATACGAAGCATTTTCCTTCGATACTTTACTGCTCGAATGTCACCGAACAAATGATAGCAAAACCGTAACGTACAAACAATAATACTCTATTGTTTACGTCATCAAAGTCGAACATGTTATTGATAATTCGTTATAGAAATATTTTATATACTAAAAAACAATTTATTGATTAAAATTGATTATTTATTAAACAATTTATCACGGAGCCTTTCGTTATGCTAATTACTTGCATCTATAATTCGATTGTTTTACTTTGTGTTCTCTCACAATCCAAATTATATTTACATTGTCAAGTAGAACGATAAGATATCACGGATGAAATATATTTGTGACTCTAAATATGATGACTTAAAATAATAATTATTGTCCGTAAAAATCGAAACGATCGAAGCAATTATTTAATATTTTGGATTCCTATAATTTAATCAATTTTCGATTAAATTGTATATTGTTTAATTAACAAGGATTGAGAAAATTTAAAGCATTGTTCGAAATATATTTAATTTTAATATTGTTAAAGAAATATTATAATTAACAGCAATGATCGAAAGATCATTACATAATTAATTTTCTTATTTTCTTTTATACATCCCCTGTTTCAATTTTTAATCGCGGTAATGAAGCATTACGATTCGATTTATAATAAAGATTTATGATTGCAATACAGTTTCATATTGTTAATTAATTTTTAATTAATTAATTTTTATTAATATTTAAAGCAAATTGTGTTTAGTAAGAAAATTACAATATTCGTAGTGTTTCTCACTACTTTATTATTTAAGAATCATCGTGCAAATGATGACAAAAAGCGGTAATGTATAGCACGCTACTATTTATATTTTATATTGCCAAAGTCGAACACCATGTTATCGATAATTTGTTGCCGAAATATTTTATATATTATAAAATATACATTAACATGGAATATTAAATTATAGAAGTATTTGAATTTATTCGATTATTTTACCGCGCTTTTCCGAAGTCAAATTCTATAATATTTAGTTTTACATGTTAAAAGATTGATTTATAGCGAGCTAAATAAATAAATAAATAATAGCGTGAAAAGAGAGAACATACTAATATTTTTATATAATAAATTATTATTAATTAAATTATTTATATTTTTATTTATATTATTTATATTATCAGAGACATATACAGGGTGGCCCACATAACTCTTAACAGCCCAATATCTCGAAAACTATGCCATCGATTTTAAAGTTCTTGGTCTTAAATTGCATGGATCTGAAGGGCCTTTCTAACTACATAAACGTGAAGTGGCTCCCCTTCCCCTTTAAGGGGAGGCGGAAGTAACTTTATAATTTTAAATGGAACCTCCTATAAAACGTTACATATTTAGATTCTACAGGAAAAAACAAGTAAATTTTGTCTGAAACATTTTTTTGTCAGATATTTCCATAATGAGATATAACAGTTTGAAGTTTCGACTTGTAGGTACTTGAAGCGCTCGGAAATAGCGTTGTTGAATTATACGCGCTTGAGTTCTTTGCTTATTCGTGAACAAATAAAATGTTCTTTAAATTAAATGTCCACCACGGACTTGTAAACATTTATTTACTCAAAACATCAAAGCACGCCGATCATTTTTTTGGCATTCACCTAACACTAATAACATATTCACTTCTGTATCAAAAATAGCCATAATCACAATGTTACTGCTTGAATAACAGCTCTAAACTGAAAACATTTTCATGGATAATTGAGTCAAACTCAAGAATTGTAAATATTATTATTTTTGTTTCTTCACGAATAAGCAAAAAACTCAAGCGCGTATAATTCAACAACGCTATTTCCGAGCGCTTCAAGTAAGTACCTACAAGTCGAAACTTCAAACTGTTATATCTCATCATGGAAATATCTGAAAAAATGTTTCAGACAAAATTTACTTGTGTTTTCCTGTAGAATCTAAATATGTAACGTTTTATAGGGAGTTCCATTTAAAATTATAAAGTTCCTTTTAAAGGGGAAGGGAAGGCCACTTCACGTTTATGTAGTTAGAAAAGCCATTCAGATCCATGCAATTTAAGACCAAGAACTTCAAAATCGATAGCATAGTTTTCGAGATATTAAGCTGTTAAGAGCTGTTATGTGGACCACCCTGTATGTCACGCTCTAAGAACATTCATGGATATTGGCTTTGTAATTCATGTTCACGTTTTTAATGTCCACAGAGGGAGTATCGTTTCCAGGGATCACCTGAAAGCGGGCCATGATACCTTTCAGTCTTCTCTCTGATAATAAATAAATGTAAATAATATAAATAAAAATATAAATATGCGGAATCGCTTATTGACAATTTCATTAGTTTCATTAGTTTCATTTGTTTACGTTGTTTATGTTATCTCGGGTCTACAGTTATTTATTTTATTCATTCAATAATTTATTTAATTTAATAACATGATAAGAAAACTAGCGTCTACGAGCCACAGAGGATGGTAAATGCCTGAAAAATTCTTTTTAATTGTACGCGAAATTTTTAAACGAAAAACACGGCATATGCATATATTTTACTTGGTGCATTTAACCAAGATATAGATTCTCATTTTTGAGAAATTCTATACAATCCTCTTTACCTCCCTGAAGAGACGTAGACGAGAAAAATATCGGGGCGAAGTCGCTGAATCGGGAATTCCCGTTATATCCCGATAGTATTGAGTCTTGGCCTGAACTTTTGCGTAGTTGGTCAGTGACACATCCTTTGCGCTTTCAGTATCTTAGAGAAACTAGATTGATATCGCAGCCACAAAGGGCAACGTATTTTATTCAACAAGAGTTTAATATTTTAGTAAATGATTATTTTAAGAATTGGCCGGTGCTTACACTACCTAATAATGGATATTTATTAGTGAGAAAATTGATCTTACATATTGAATGTGATGTTCTTTCTTTCTTTTCGGTTTTTTCTTTTTTAAATTTAAATATGCCGAATTAATTAATTTGCAGATTCGGCAAGATTTTAAAGAATTATATCCTGGTAGAGAAGATGATTTGATATCAAAGTGGGATTCAATTAAAGAAGTTTTGATTAATCTCTTTAACGTGGAAATTGCTAAATCAGATGTGTATGGCAGGAAGTTACTTACAGACTTGAGTGTTACAGATATAGGTATTTATAAAAAGACTGATATTTTTATGGCAATTTTTTTTGTTAACGATATATAATCTTATTATTTTACTTTAATATTTTATTTGTTTTTCAGGCAAAAATGATGTAATTTTATTACATTTACTGCTATCATTTTGTTGTAAAAGGACAAGAGGTGCGAGTGAGCGCATGCCATCTATTGCAGAAGCCAAGAGAGCTTTTATTCTCCATGTCCTTGTAATTATCATTTGTAAAAGAGTAGTATGTAGTAGAGTTGTAGTAGAAAAATAAATATTATTTTAGTCTAATATAATTAAGTATATGTATATGAATGTTCAAAAATATTTTTACAGATTCCAGGAGATTTGAATCGTCAAATCAAAGCACATAGTGAATGGTTGGCAAATCGTGGCTTGAACTTACAGCCGACGTTAATATTTATTGGATCAACTTTAACGAATATTATTGCTAGTTACGTTTAGATAGATACTGTGCGGTATGAGTTTCGCATGCCATTAAAAGCTCTGGACACATGTTTTAAAGCATTTCATGTATTGGCTGCTGCATATCAAGAGGAATGCCAAGCAATCTGAGTCTTTTAACAAATATTATTTAATTAATCTATGTAACCTAAAACACTCCTAGACACTTTAATATTCCGTGTATATGTTAAAGTACGTGAAATAAATCGGCAATGAATGAACAGTAACACGTTCGGCCTTGGCGGCGTATGACGCGCTGTGGTACAGCCTTGATATCATTCGCACGGCAACATTCGAGGAGTAAAGTGCGAAATACTTCGTATATCATTAAATTTTTCTCTCTAACGATAAAACGCAATTGCGACTAGTAGTTGAAACATAATTCGCTATGATAATTCTAATTAATACTTGCTAAAATTTTAATTGTTGTATTTACTACGCGATCGGGAGTATCGTGCAAAGTGTCTCACAATTATTACGTATACTAATCTTAATTAACTAATCTTAATTAATCTTGTTTTCGGAAGTGAATATGAATGCAACGAAGAAATAGCAAAGGAGAGAAAAAGCAAGTCTGAAAAAGCACTGGCAACATATTGAGCAACAATATCCGGTAAATAATTTATAAATTATTTATCATTTATATTTATCATTTATATTGAAATTATATTATATATATCATTTATGTGTTAGATTTATATATATCATTTATATTCAGATCATATTATTTATTGCTTGTCTTTTTCTCGATAATGATTCTCTCTCTCTCTCATTCTTATTGTAAATTATTTAAATTATTTAAATTTTGAAGTTATATTAGTATAATATATATATAAAATATTCTAGATTATCTTATTTTAATATACTTAAAATATCTATAATAAAATCTCGTATTAATTAATACTTTTATATAGATAGTAATATTCCATAAATTGCTTTACAATAATATATTATTTAGATATTTTATGCCTAAAAGGTTCCATAATGAATTGTTTAATAAATAATCAATTTTAATCAATAAATTAAAATACTTCTATAATTTAATATTCTGCGTGTGTGTATTTTATAATACATAAAATATTTCGGCAACGAATTATCAATAAAATCATAACTTTGGCGACGTAAATAGTAGCGCGTTGTTTATACATTACAGTTGTGCTATAATTTGCTCGGTGATATTTAAGCAATAAGTAATGATACAAAACGTTTCGTATATTAATTAATTGTTTAACAAATAATTATTTAATTAATCTATAAATTTAAAAACTCTTACAATTTAATATTTTGCGTCTATAAGAGTATATTAAAGTATATTAGTTAAAGTACCTAAAATGTTTTAGCATCAAATTCCCTATATAACATTATGTTTTATGTTGACGATATAAATAGTAACACGCTAATATTTATATCTTACGGTTTTGCTATTATTCACACGATGACACTTGAGTAAAATAGTGATGCAAAATGCTTCATATATTATCGAATTTTTTTTTGTGTGATCGCGAATACTTTCGCGAGTGAATTCAAATGCGACAAGGTATTCAAATGAATGAAAGTACTACGAAGAACAGCAAAGTACCGATGAGGAATAGAGAAGCAATTTTCATTATAATTTTATTATTTCTTATCGGTTCTTATAAGATCAATTCGCGACGTCTAATTCAGCGTTGAAAATTCGAGATTTTTATTGTAAGATTGAAACTAATCCCAGATTTTCCTGATAATTTCTGAAAACAATGATTTCGATAATGAATAACAATTCAACGATGAACGAAATATACGCTCCGTATAATTTATTAATTTAATCAAGAATCGTATTGATAGAGGGGGGATTTAAAATAATCAATTATTGTTTCATTGCAATCTTTACGGGCAATAATTCTTTAATGATATTTAGAATCAAATTTATTTCGCCATAATGCGCTTTATCGCTTTATTTCTTTAAGATTTAAATATAATTTAAATCTAAATTTAAATATAATTTAAATTCAAGACGCGCGATAAAACAATCAAATTGTAGATCCAAATAATTAACATTACGAAAGGTTCCTAATTTAAACATTAATCGTTTAATAAGTAAAATCATTAATTAATCTTATAAATTAAAATAATTTAATATTTCGCAAATACATACATACAAATATTAGCATAACGAAAGGCTCCGTGATAAATTGTTTAATAAATAATCAATTTCAATCAATTAAAAAAATTTTTATCAAATTAAAATACTTCCATAGTTAAATACTCCGCGTTAATATATATTTTATAATATATAAAATATTTCTGCAGGAAATTTTGGACAACACAGTGTTTGACTTGGGCAATATAAAATATAAACAGTAGCGCGCTATATGTTACGACTTTGTCATCATTTCCACGGTGACTCTCGAGTAATAAAGTAGTTGTGAGAAACGCTTCGTATATTGTAATTTTTTTACTAAACACGATTACGATTAATATCGAAACATAATTTACTATAAATATTAATAAAAATTAATTAATTCAAAATTAATTAGCGATATGAAACAGTATTGCAACGATAAATCTTTATCGAATCGCAATCATTCATTACTGGGAATAAAAATTGAAATATGGGATACGTAAAAGGGGATAAGGGAATTAATTCTGTTATAATATCGATCATTAATGCTTATTATAATATTTTCTTAACAATATTAGAATTAACTATATTTCGACCAATGCTTTAAATATCCTCCTTGGTAATTAAATCCTTGTTAATTAGACAATAGTTATGTATCACAACATGTAAGTAATCTTTTAATCTTACGATACATTAATACGTTAGATATATGAGATATTATATATTAATATATTAAAATATTTCAACATTGAACTAATAACAACATAGTATCCGACATAAACAATACCGCCTTAATGATTTTATTTTACGGTTTTGTTATGCAAATTTAAATTTATACACTATATTACCAAATAAATTTTAAATTATATATATTATATTATATATAAAAAAATTATATATAATATAATATAATATAATATAATATAATATATAATATATAATTTATTTATTTGTAATTATATATTAAATATTAAATATATTTATTATAATTTAAAAATTAAATAATTAATCGCAACAATTAATTTGATTTTTTTATTCATATGATTTAAATACGAAAGAATTTTGAAAAAAAGGATTTTTATATAAAATCTATAATCTTGTAAAGGCATAAGCTTTTATAAAGTTATTAAAGAATTGTTAGTAATGTTTTTTTTTTAATTTATAGAATTATTTTATTAACCTGCTATTATTATATGCGTCCAATATAAAATTCAATGCATACAATAATTTTTAAAATATTAATTATTTTGAGCATTATTACAATTTAGATCTTTTATTTGTATGTGTTATAGATCGACACAACAACCTAGATGATCTGAAAGGAGGAGCAAGCCTAGCCTGACAACCTGATGGTGAGTATTACTTATATTAATTGTATATAAATAAATAAATAAATTTATTAATTTGTTTTATATGAATAATTTAAACAAGAAAAATTGGACAAATTTTTGTAATAATTCTTTTTATAAAAGTTTTTACCTAAAAAAAAAAAATACTTATAAAATTATTTTATATTTATATATCTATTTATAATTGTGTGCATCGGATATAAAATTCAATGAGTCTAATAATAATTTCTTAAAATATTAATTATTTTAAACATTGATATAATTTGGATTTTATATTTGTATGTTACAGACATCGTAGCTTCAATATCAACTCCGCTGTTGCGCATCAGTGCTGCTAAGTGACAACCTTTTATTTTGAAGCAAAGGATTTGTAAATGCATGAAAAAATCCGTTGCTTCTAACTCTCGATTGGCCGGACAATACTCGTAAAAATTAAAATAACAGGAAAAATATTTAAAAAATAAAGATAAATATTTTTATTGCAATTTTATGACAGATATACATGAAATATTTACTTCCATTAAGTATATCGGCCTTTATAAAACAATTTTAAAAATATAGATTTTTAATCTGTAAATTCATATATTTCATATATAAGATAAAGATATTTATAAGTAACCCGACTGAGAATTAATGCATGCTAATTATATTTTATATATGCATGATAATTTATATTTTGAGATTTTTGACGACTGAATGATGTGCGTTAAAATACGGTCGTAATCACACGATTATAGACGAATTATTAATCGTCAGAATGAAATGGCTAGAAATAGAAATAACTGGCTTGAAAAATACATGGTCAATATTGGCCAAAAGATATGTTGGGCGGCTAAGGCTTCCTAATTTTTATCGCGAATTTCCCGTTAGGGCTCCTTAAATTCATCATTATCGCGGATTCCTAATTAGGGTTCCCCAAATTTCACCTTATCGTGAATTTCTACTGGTGTAAGCCAGCAAGTAGGGCGGCTAAGTCTGTGTTAGGTCTATTAGGGCTGTTAGGGCTATTAGGGTATATAAAAGTTAAATTTATTTTCAGAAAAAAAACATAAAAATATATTATTCTTAAGAATATTTTCATATATATAATTTATTTTATGTAAAATTAAATAAATTATATATAAAGAATTGAAATTAATTATAAAGAAACTATAAATAAAAATAAAAAATTAATGTATGGAAAATTAATGTATGGAAAATGTAAAAGATGTAACATAATATACATGTAAGTTGCATTTTATTATACGCATAACATGTATTAAATTTAATATCTTATTTTTTTATAAATTGTATTAATTGTAATATTGTTGAGTGGAAAATTACAACTAAGAGCAGTGTTTGCTGTAGATAATTTCAAAATTATCTAGATAAAGATAAAGATAAAAATCCGTAAATTTATCTTAGATGAGATAAAGATTTTGCTTTTACTTAATCTAGATGAAAGATGAGATAATTATTGCGATAATCTAGATAATTATCTAGATATTTTTGTTTATTTTAGAAAACTATAAATATTTGTAAAAAATGTGACGTAGATTATAAATGGGATATTAAAATCATAAACACATATTCTTTCTCTTTTCCTAAAGAATATTTAAATAATAGTAAAAAGGTATATAAATGATATGATAAATATTTATTTATTAATTTATATTTATAATATATTTATAATATATTTATAATAAATTAATAATATAATAATATATTTATAATATATTAATAATATAATAATATATTTATAATATATTAATAATAATAATATAAAAAATATATTTTAGATATTTTAGATAGATTTTTAGAAGCTTGCCTGGAAAACTTTTTTGCATAATGAAAACGTCATCTTAGACAATTTTTAGATAAGATGACATATTTTTCATCTAAGATAAAGATAAAGATACTTTGAATTTCTTCTAGTTAAAGATAAAGATGATTCATTTCTTTATCTGGATGATTATCTAAATAATTTTATTTAGATATCAGCAAACATTGACTAAGAGTTATATAATTGTTACTTGATGTTTGCTGAGTTATTAATTAAAATTAAATTCAATTATTATTATTTAAAAATATAATTATATTAAATTATTGTTAAATTATTTATAGATTTTTTCTTGATCACTCTCGAAACTTTCTTTGAACAGTGTTTTGAGGAAGATTACCGAAGCGAATTTTCTGCATTCAATCAGAAAATCAACAAGGAGATCAATAGAGATCAATAGAGGAGATCAATAGAGATGCTTATGACTATTGCTGGTGTTTATGACTCGATTTTAAAAATTTTGAATATGATTGGTTTCTACTTTTAGATCCGGCCAATCAGCGTCGAATGACATTGGAAAATCTAGTAATGTTGCGAATAGTTAGTTTAATCGCTCCGGAATAGTTTACTAGACGTCATTGACTAATCACAGTCTTCTGAAGAAAGCAACAGTTACATTCTTCGGAAGAACGTCTGTGATTGGTCAGTGATGTCTAGTAAACTATTCTAGAGAGTTTAAATCCGACCATTCGCAACATTACTAGATTTCCGATGTCATTTGACGCTGATTGGCCAGATCTGAAAGTAGCAACCAATCATATTCGATTACCACTTAGCGTTTGAGTCCGCTGAATGCTGAATGTGGCTAAATTTTTTCAAATCATAACCGCTTTCGCGTCTACTCGAATGTACTCGAGGAATATGTAAGTATTTTGATTATCCTTATTTAATTTTTGTGTGAAATTAGATACACCTGATACAAAATTCACACAAGAGATTCTTCTCTGAAAAGAAAGAGAGTGAAAAAGAGTATTTTTCATCATGTTGCGAAGTACTCCTTCTAAATCCAAGGAAAATGAATCCAGACGATCCAGACGTTCATCGGTGAGTTTATATTGTTTACAAATTTTGATTTAGGTATTTTTTACAAATTAAAGAATTAATGGTATTAATTTAATAATATTATTAATATTGTTGTAACATTGCAATATTGCAGCAATATTATTAATATTGTTGTAACATTGCAGCAACATTGCAATATTGCTGCAATTTATTTATAGGAATTGTATTATTTAAAATTAAATTAAAATATTATTATAATTAAATTAAATTATCATAAAACATTATAATATTATTATTAAATTATTAATAATATTTAATAATATAGTGTTAATTTAATAATAATAGTATTAATTTAATAATATTAATATCTTAGAAATTAATTTTTGATTGTTAATAATTTTCGTTATGATTTTTGATAGATTCTTAAACCACGCAAACCCCGTAAACCATTGCAAAATGTGGATTTTGATTCCCCACGAAATGAAACAAGTTCGACTCCTTCAAAGATCAAAAGGCGTGTCAGTTTTGCAGATAAGAAACATGTCAAGTGAGTATAATATTGTATTATCTTTTATAAAATTAATCAATTTATTTTTATACAATATATGGAACATCTTTTTAATGTCTCAAAACAAAGTCTCTTGAGCTCCACAATAAGATATTACATTTACTTTCTGATTTGAGATGCTAGGAATTATTTTTAATTAATTTAAAAATTTATTTTATTTTTTTTAATTAATTACAGAATTTTTCTGAAGAGTTTTTCACATTTGTGCTCTATTTTTTTATTTATCTTATCTTTATTCTTCTTATCTTTATTCTATTTTTCTTTAAATTAGATTACATTTTATTAGAGAACCTTAGATTTATTTTTTTATTTTATTTAATTTATTTTTACTTTAATTTCTTTTCTTTAATTACTCTATCCTGTGCAGAGAGTTTTGTCACACGGTTGAGCAAGGGACTGTATGGGATAATACATATGAGGAGAATGATTCTGCTAAAGGATCTTTTGTAGGAGATGCGAACGCTAAAACTGAATTGAGAGAAAACAAATCTGCTCAACCGTCTAAGGATGCGACGTTAAGTATTATTGCGTGTAATACAAGTGAGAAATATATGGAACCATCTGATGAAAAGTCCCAGCTTGAAGAAAATGTGACCAATATAAAATCATATTCATGTGGCAACGCTGACTTTGAATTAGATGGGACATGCATCCAGGATTTATCTATGGAATTTACAGCATCAATACCTACACCTTCACTTGCAAAAGAGAACATAAATATAAAGAAGGATAATTTTACATTGCATCTGAATTTAGATACAAATTATGTCAGCAACAGCAATAATGTATCCATTCAGGCTGTACCAGTATCTGCGAGAGCTATTAATTCTGATTTAAGTATTTTTGAACAAATTTCAAAGATACAAAATTGTGAAAGCGCAAATTGGAGCGCTGAAAATAATATGCATGCTAAGACAGTATCTTCAAGAAATTTGCATTACTCTAATATTGCTTCTGAAAGTACTTTTTTCAAACAGACACAGAATGCAACACAGAATATTAATGAATCAATGATGTTAACAAATGTAATACAGCCAGCTACCACTGACATGTCTTGTACAAACGTACCTTTTAATGTTTCAATGGAAATGACAGCTCCTATATCATTGAAAATATATGATGAAAATATTTCACATCCCCATGGTGAAAATATAATTAATGAAAATGGTCTGAGAGAAAATCAAATTGATAAAACTGAATTTTTTAATGATGCAATGGAAATAACAAAACCTGTAAATGTACCTTTGATTGCTTACGACAAGGAGAATTTGAGAATGGATGAATTAATTTTATCCAGAGACGATGGAACCATTTTCTTTCATAATGCATCCATGGAAATGACCACAGTGCCATTAAGAAATCAAGGAGAAATTACTCGTCCGATCATTCACAAGCCGATATCTGAAGAGAATATACGTAAGGAAAAGAATGCGGACAATTCAATTGACTTTAGTGAAAAAACCAAATTATTATGCAAGTCTATGGAGTTTACTGAAGCTGTCCCAGTCTCTTTACACGAACAAACACTTAATCCTATTTGCACTGCAGAATCTACGTCATTCTTTCAAACAATATCAAAAGCACATTCACCTGCTGAAAATTCGAAATTGGCTCTTCAAGTTGATACAACTGCAAACAAAACAATTCAACATACATCAATGGAAATTACTGCTCCAATTTCGAGTCTGCATTTTACACAAAATGCAAGAAATGAAAGAGAAAATTTAAACATTTCTAAAGATGGTGGTTTTCAGCCTCTGTCAGTCTCAACAAATAATTTATTAAATCCAAACAAGACTTGCATGTCTTTTATGGAATATCCCGCTCCTCAAGAAAGTAATGTACATTTAGAAAAATCTAATGATATTTATATGAATAATACTGAGCATAGTGATTTTACACAAAATGCAAGAAATGAAAGAGAAAATTTAAACATTTCTAAAGATGGTGGTTTTCAGCCTCTGTCAGTCTCAACAAATAATTTATTAAATCCAAACAAGACTTGCAAGTCTTTTATGGAATATCCCGCTCCTCAAGAAAGTAATGTACATTTAAAAAAATCTAATGATATTTATATGAATAATACTGAGCATAGTGATTTTACACAAAATGCAAGAAATGAAAGAGAAAATTTAAACATTTCTAAAGATGGTGGTTTTCAGCCTCTGTCAGTCTCGACAAATAATTTATTAAATCCAAACAAGACTTGCAAGTCTTTTATGGAATTTCCCGCTCCTCAAGAAAGTAATGTACATTTAGAAAGATCTAATGATATTTATATGAATAATACTGAGCATAGTGAGCGTTTTGTAAAGGACACAATAAATTATACCGAGCCATTTAGATTAAATTTTGAAGATAATCTAAATGACATTAGCGAATATAGTTTACTAAGAAAAACTGTTGAAAACAGTGTCGAAGAGTTACAAACGATTGAACCACCATCGTTCATATCATTAGACAATGATAAAGAAGAGAATTCTTTCCCTGATGCTTTATGCAAAGATAAACTTCAGATGGCGACTAGTAAAATAGATGAAACGATCAATAATATATGTAATAGTTCAAATCAATTAGTAATAAATAATATAACTCAAGCAACGTCGAGAAACAGTGTAGCAAAGGATAATGAAAGTTGTACAACTTTAAGAGAAAATGAATCCATCAATATCGAGAATCAAATGGAAGATGACTGTAGTAAAAATATAGCGAATGAAACTGAATATAATCAAGAAGTCGATTGTCAAGTACTTGGAAGAACAATTATTTATGGTAATCTAATTAATGAATCCAAACATTGTGAAATAAATGTAGAGAATCTTGAAGAAAATATATCAATACAGAATAATAAATGTAAAGAGACAAAAATTGATAATTACGAATCGCCAATTATCAAAGGCAGCGAAATAATAGCTGAAGAAGAATACATCTGGGAAAGGATAAACGATAACCTGCGAAATAAAAAGAAACAGCAATATTCGGATGTGCAAAAATTACTAATAGAACAGTGCACTGATCCACAGAAGGCGGAAGTAATTGGAAACCAATTAAATTCGGAGGAATATTGTAAAGAAAATTTAATAAACGACGCAGTAAGAGTAACAGGACAAAATGAAGAAAATACAGAAGAACAATGCGCTGGAGCGATTGAGGAGTCTTTGGCTGAGCAAGATCCCTTTACATCACTGTCACAAGAATTAGAGACGTATGGCGAAAGGTTTGTAAATATACATATTTTTATTGCCTCAAAAATGGATGAAAAGACTAATATTATTTTATATTAAATATTACTAATATTATTTTGTTACAGGGACGATTGCATTTGGAACGTGTATCACGAGAATATCGACAGAAAAATGATCGTTTTCGGCTTCATATCGAATTCGTTATTGGTAGCAATGTTTCTATCGTACGATTTTAATTGTTCAGAAGAGAATCTGATTAAAAGAATCAAGATTGTTTCCCGCATTTCAAGTAATTATACATATATTAATGAACGGAAAAAATTAATATTATATTAATATTATATAAATATTAATATATAAATAATATATAAATATTAATAATATATAAATATTAATAATATATAAATATTATATAATAATATATATATAATATATAATAATATATATAATATATAAATATTAATATTATATAATATTTTAATATTTTAATATTATATAATATTTTAATCTTTTCTTTCTATTTTTCCAACAGATGATTCAGGTCTATTTACAAAGATAGTGCACAAATTAATTCTGGAGAAACTAGATGCGGAACTGCTTATGGATAGGTATAAAACTCGTGAGGATATTCTACCAATGCTGGAATATGTTTCACAGAATGTCAAATTAGCGATGGACTTCATGTTCGAATTGAAACGCTTGGACGATATAAATCTGATGGAGATTAATTGTGATCAGTAATTATCCATTCATATCACTCTACAGGGTGGCCCCCAGAGTAGAACGTTCCAGACTTTGAGATCTTATAGAAAATTTAATTCTGAACAAAAAATTTATAAACATGGATCGGAAAATGCTTCCTTTAGAAGTTATCGCTCAAAAATCTCTGATGAAGGAAGAGCAAAAGGTGAAAAGAAAAATGAAATAAAAAGAAAATGAAACTAAATAAATTTCTTGAAAAAAAACGATAAAAATAAAAAATAAAAATCTTTTTCTTTTATGAAAATAAAATAATTTTTTTTTTTAACTAATATTTTAGTAATAGCACGTAATAGTAGAAAATGAATAAAGTCGTTTTTCAAGAAATTTATTTAGTTTCATTTTCTTTTTATTTCATTTTCTTTTCACCTTTTACTCTTCCTTCATCAGAGATTTTTGAGCGATAACTTCTTAAGGAAGCATTTTTCGACCCATGTTTATAGGAAATTTTTTGTTCAGAATTAAATTTCCTATAAGATCTCAAAATCTGACTGGAACGTTCGGAGCCACCCTGTATATTATGCTAATAAAAATATGAAATACTAATACTTAAAATATTTTATAACATGCATACTAACTTCATGAAATAGTAACAGGATATTTGTTTTAGAATTTCATTTGTATCTCGAAGCAAAAAAATGGATATTATCGTGAAAGTCATTATTAAAGTCAAACGATTTGATGAACTCACTTCAAGTGATGTAAACGTTCATTGTTTGCTGGGTACAATAAAGTAAGTTTATGAAGAAACGCACAAATTGGAAATTATTTAATATTGTGTATTCTTATTTTTTTTTTCTCATTTTTACAGAGAAACTGATGTTAAGGGTCTAATTAAGAATATAAAAAAAGATCACATGTTTTTAAGAAAATATATGAACGATGTCAAAGATTATGTTGACATAATAGAAATGACAATGCCAAAAAAATGTAATTATTAAGAAACTATCAATTGATTTTCAGTGAAGATATTATTTTAGCCGTCTAATGTGTTCAAATTAAAAAATGAATGAATCTAAGTTGTAAATCAGTGTTGTAATGTAAATGATTGTGCAATTATCTATATACATAACAACAAAGTTTTTTTTATTTTTGTATCATTTGTAAGTTGTACCATTTTCTGTTACTCTCTTTGTAAGTTGTAATTATAACAAATAATATGAAAAAAAACATACTATAAAGAATTTTTTATAAAAATTCTGTAATAAAAATATGCTAAAACGTATTGAGTGTGTAAATTTATAGTACTTCCTTGCAAATTAGCTATAAATCTTTTTATATTAATATTTAGAATTAAATAAATTAATTTGTAAATCGAGAATATTGTAAATAATTTTGCAATTATTTTCACATATTCGAAAAGCAACATTTTCTTATTTTTGTATCTCTCTATTTACTAATTAAATTACTATTTCCTAATATTCTTTATAAGTTATAATTGCAATATATAATATAAAAAATTACAATATATAAATTTAAGAAACATAAAAAATATTTTCTATAAAAATTTTCTAATAAAAATATGCCAAGAAAATTATTAGGGATATATGTGTGTGTGTTCTATTTTCTATTATGGCTGTTCGTATTAATATATCATTTTCTCGTACTTTTATTATTTACATTTTCTTTTTACATTATATTTAATGAAAATTTGAGTCTGATTTAAATTTCATGTGATATTTATGTTATAGCATAATTTATTGTACCGTCAGCAATAAACGTAAAGTTTCGAGAGAGAGGCCGGTCAACTGGCTCCAATATAGCCGGTTCGGAAGATGCAGCTTTTTGTGCAAGCACATAAGCCGAGTTCCTTGGATAGTATATCGTGCGAACGATCGTCTTTCATGGAATCGTACGGCGCTTTTCGTCGCGCTCTTGAGAAAAATGCTCGTCTCTGTCGATATATATACAGTCGCACATCAATAATGAATTTTGATCGTGGGATCGAGTAATCCTGGGCTGCAGAGCGATTTTATTATAGCCACATTATTAATTAAATATTTTTCGCTTCATCTTCGAACGCATCTCTGATGAAAAAAAAATGTCATAATTAGAAAATTTTAGGAATTCTTGATCATTTAAATTTAAGAAGAATTATAAAAAGATTGATCAGATTTATTCAAGTTTTTAATATTATTTTAGGAAATTGTAGAATAAAAAAATCTCAGAATATTTAACATTTATAATATATAAGAAATTCTAATAAAATTCATTTAATAGTGAACATTGATCGTGGAATCGAGTAATCCTCTGCAGAGCGATTTTTATTATAGCCGTATTAGATATTACTCGCTTCATCTTCGAACGCGTCTCTGATGAAAAAAAAATTTCATAATTAGAAAATTTCAGGAATTCTTGATAATTTAAATTGATGAAGAACTGTGAAAAAATTGATCAGATTTATTCAAGTTTTTTAATATTATTTTAGGAAATTGTAAAATAAAAAATCTCAGAATATTTAACATTTATAATATATAAGAAATTCTAATAAAATTCATTTAATAATGAGCTTTGACCGTGAGATCGAGTAATCCTGGGCTGCAGAGCGATTTTATTATAACCGTATTATTAATTAGATATTTTTTACTTCATCTTCGAACGTGTCTCTGATGAAAAAAAAAATGTCAATTAGAAAATTTTAGGAATTCTTGATAATTTAAATTTATGAAGAACTGTGAAAAAATTGATCAGATTTACTCAAATTTTTTAATATTATTTTAGGAAATTGTAGAATAAAAATCTCGAAATATTTAACATTTATAATATATAAAAAATTCTAATAAAATTCATTTAATAATGAGCTTTGATCGTGGAATCGAGTAATCCTGGGCTACAGAGCGATTTTATTATAGCCATATTATTAATTAGATATTTTTCGCTTCATCTTCGAACGCGTCTCTGATGAAAAAAAATGTAATTAGAAAATGTAATTAGAAAATTTTAAGAATTCTTGATAATTTAAATTTATGAAGAATTGTAAAAAAAATTGATCAGATTTATTCAAGTTTTCTAATATTATTTTAGGAAATTGTGGAATAAAAAATCTCAAAATATTTAATATTTATGATATATAAGAAATTCTAATAAAATTCATTTAAAAATATAAAATCTTCATTCCTTTTCTAAAGATTTTTAAAAAATGTGTTAATTCGAAAAGAAAATTTTAAAATTTTCTGGGAAAGTTTTAGAATTTTTATAGAAAATCTAAAAATTTTTATAAGAAACTCTGTATAAATAATTTTCAATCAAGAGTCTTTACACGCTAAAATTAATATTTAAAAAAAATTATACCGTAAACATATTGTTATTTGATTTATATTTGACCCAATGTGTTGTCTTGCAATATATTAAACAATAATAATCATCCTAATATGATTTTATAGGCAATAGTGACAATTCGAAGGAAGTGCGTTCTGACTTGAACATAAATTAACTACTTATGCAAGCGCCGCTTAAATCCGCTTTTTTTTCTAGCGACATTTGTATACAATGAAACTCTCGATCAGACTGTCAGCATACAATCTACTACCGCTTCATCTTTTTACTATATGAAAAAAAAGATTCCTATTGCGCTCTCGTTAGAGCGATGCGTGGATGCGATTTGGAAAATAAAGTCAACTGGTGAAAATTATTTACAGAATTTCTCAAAAATTTTCAGATTTCCTCTAAAAATTCTAAAACTCTCAGTAAATTTTAAGATTTTTTAAACGAATTGGCACAGTTTTAAAAAAAAATTTCAGAAAAGAAATAAAGATATTTGATATTTTTATTATAAATAAATTTCATTAGAATTTCTATAAATGTTAAATATTCTGAGACTTTTCCTTCTACAATTTTCTAAAATAATATTTAAAAAACCTGAATAAATCTGATATATTTTCACAAAATTCTTCATAAATTTAAATTATAAAAAATTCCTTTAAAAAATGTTCTAATCAAAATTATGAGATTTTTTCATCAGGAAAGTCGAGAATTAAATCGCGATGAGTAAATTAACTAATTAAAGTTTGATTCACGTCCAATGTTCTGCCTTTCCTTTATTTTCAGATCCAACATCGCTCTGGCTTGGCGTGGCCAGATGTTATAAACACTTCAAGCTTATTAAAGAAGTCGGACTTTCTTTCACCGCGACTCTTTACGCCAGTCTCTCTCGCTGCAGCGTGGGCGTAGAGGCCCGGTTTTACGTGATTTCGTAACGACGACGACGACCGATTTCCAGTATCAAAAAGCATTTCACGAGGATCCCAAAGACCTTCAGGGGCCCCCTATTACTCCACCCACTCTCTCTTTCTCTCTCTCTATCTTTCTCGTTCACTCCCCGACCGATCTTCTCCCAAATTCTCGTGCATACGAAAGCAGCGCGTATGGAGATTGTTCGCTGCTACTTCTCATATCATGGACGCGTCGATAAATAAAATCGTAGACGAGAAGCTGGAGGGAGAAGATGTGGGATATCGAGCTATAAAAATGCTATCTTGCCTTATTGGAAAAAGAGAACGAAAAAAGGTATTAATTAAGTTTATTAATGAACTGAAGAAACTGGAGATTTTTTAATTATTAATTTTTTAATTAATTTTCCTCGATCAATCATCGACGATTTTTTTTATGGAACCGAATAAGAGCGTCGCACTTATCGACACGATACCTCTAGGAGTCTTCTTTCCTAGGACATCGTTCTCTTCTCTTCGTCATCGCCGTCGTTCACTATAAAGATATAGGGATGTAGGAGGAGGTCAGACGTGTCAACGAGCGACAGAATCCATCCGTGGCGACGGCATCGACGCATAAATATCCCGTGAAGAGGGCATTCGCACATTTTTCAGGCCAACGAATAATTGCTAGAAAACAATATTCGTCAATCGCGACGATACCTGCTCCAGCTCCGGCTGCGGCAAGTGGGCGTAAGGGCCGGGAGAGAGAACGTCGTCCCGTGTTCCATACATGGCTATGCTATGTGGAAACCGAGAGACACACAGAAAGACGGACGGACGGACCGGGGGAGTCCCCACCGCGTGGACACGACGGTGGAGGCGACGTTTTCTCTGGAAGCGGTCGCTGAGCATGCTCTCGGCGCACAGTGTCTCGCAACACGCGTGTTGCACGACCGTCGCACGTCCATGCGATCGTCCTGGTGCTATCCGGGCGTTCATGTCGCGCGAGATTCTGAGAGACGCGATGTCCGTTTTCCACGCAAGCATTCGCGTCCAAGGTCTCTTTAATCGAGCTTCATCGGCGACCATCGGGCTTTGAAGTCACTAGCGACCGTCGGGCATTGAAGTCACCCAAGCATTGAAATCACCTTGCCGCGGAGTCGATTTCGCGTGTCAATTATGCGGCGATACCGCGAGGGATAAGAAATATCGAAGAGATCCGAGGTTCCCCAGCAAACTTGGTTAATACAATATAAGAACTCGAAGAATTTCCTGAAGAAGGATTATGATACTGGGAAACGTCCCAAGGATCGAGGACTACTCTTCATCGTTGTAGGACGGATCACACGATGTACTCACAGGCACTTGACTGGCGTGGGTGCTACTGGGTTCCTCCTCCGCTCTGAGACCGAGGTCAGGTGTGGGAGGGTGCAGGGGTTGCTCGAGACTGACGCATATCGCACGTTATAGGTACGTACCAGGACTGTAATCGTAATATAACGTCACATCACGTCCGCTCTTTCTTATACGCATAATCTAACATTTGAATAAAATTTAATAATTATAAAAATAAAATTATATTTATAAATTATTTTAATAAAAATAAATATAATATTAATAAATATATATATATATATATATAAATTAATATTAATATATAATTATTAATATATAATTAATAAAAATAAACACTGAAATTTAAATAAAATATCCCTACTTTTCGTAGATAATCTTTTAATATTTAAATTTAGTGATACAAATATTAAAATCAAAACAGAAATATTTTAAACTTGTATCTAGTTGCTGGACGCAAATAATAATAAAAATATTCAACAGAGATTTTCATTAGGTGTGAGCATTTTTGCACCGAGGAAATTTTGAATCTTCCTATAGATTTTCTTATTTTCTTTTTTTTCATTCAATCGCGGGTCTTCTTAGCTCGCAAAGCTTTAGCGAGTGGAGTGCGTTTCTCGAACTTGTCTAAGTCTTCCACCATCTCCGTAGGATATCGATATGTCAATAACTCGTTCATGATCTCGATCGGTCTTAATGGTTTGAACTTAAGGGTGATTCTTCGGTACAGTGACAGCACCTTCTCTACAGCTTGCCGGATAATGTTCAGAGGAATCCCCACGGACGTCTTGGCCAAGCAGGAGACGTCGATATCGCGATCGACGCCGTGATACTTCATCAGTAGATCCTTGTAGTACATGTACAAAGTGTTGTAGTCGGTAGTGGGCACTCTTATGAATTTATCGTGCAGCTTAACGAAGGCGGCTGTCGCTTTCTGCGGCTCTTCAGACAATGAAAGGAACAGTATCTGTTGAATGAATTCGTAATACTCGATAAGAACAATTTCAAGCAGAGTTCGACTCTAGGTTGAATGTATTTGAATATTTCTCGAATATATTGTTTTCGTATTTACCTAGATAATTCTATTATCTTACGTTATCTTATTTGTCACAACCAAAAATATATTATTACCTGCGAAAAAACAGTTAAATATGAATTTAATATAGACGTTAAAACCTTCATTTGAATTGAAATGAATTAATACTGATTGTGTTAATTAAAATCTTATTTGTTTCAAATATAAATCAAATTAGAAATTCAGGTTGATTAGATGCTTATTAAATATTAATATGATCTATATATATGCCTGGATAAGTTAAATCTAATAGCAAGCACGTATTCAAATTTAATTTCGATGCATATTAAAAACATATTTAAATTTAATTACTTTTAAATTTGACATTTGGTTTTTATTTGAGTTTAATTTAGTTCATATAAATAAGCAATATGAACCATATTTAAATCATATTTAACTGTTTGTCGCGAGTACTCTTTGATCTTTTCATATTGGTTGCTATAGAAAATAAATCTTGCACTGAGAAAAATCGTTTGATTGTACTAACAATCATGTATATGTTTGAAGGTATTTTGGTTCAAATCAAACAAGAATTTCTAGTTTTCTAGTTTGATAAGATTCGATTTTTTATAATTAGAACGTTTAATAGATTTTACTATAAAGATTAGTTAATATTTTCTGGTTGAATCTATAAAATTTCTTGTTATATAATATTAATTTCTTTGCTTGTATTAACATTAAATCCAAAGTATATATTTTTTTCTCTTACGTGCAGTAGTGCCAGAAAGAGGACACTAGCTCTTTGATTGTGTGTGTTTGAGCTGCAGCCTCTTCTTGCATCACTGTTTATCAGTTAAATTTCTAATAAACTGAATTTAAAATAATTTAAAATAATATTCAATAATCTGGATTGAATTTATCCAATAATCTTGTTGGAATTCAAAATATTAAACGGACTTTTGAGATTACATGGAAAAAATTTTAGACGACTTGGTGCTGGTGAGTTTAGTATTATTAACCAGAAAATTTGATAAATTTAACGGGAAAAAATTAATCAGATTCATTTGGTAATTCCTACAAGAATTCTGATTCGTCCATTTTCCAACAGACATACTGGTTGAATCTATCAGAATTCTAATTAATGCAACCAGATTTTTTTCTTAGTGCGCGAATTAAAAATTCAGAATTGATAAATTCCAATTTTTTTAATTTAAATTTGTTAGATAAATAATTTATCACGATATGAAAAAAAATTTGTAACAGACTAGCATTTAGAGATTAAAAAATAATCGCAAAATTTATATTCTCAAAGTATTTTCATTGATAAATTTAAAATACTTTAAATTTTAAAATTAAGTATATTAATACACATACTATTAAGAATTCCTATAAATTCAATTCGATAAATTTTAAAATATTAAAATGTGTGATAAATATTATTAAACTAATCATAATTAATCATATATTAATTATTAAAAAAATTTGGTAAATTTAACGGAAAGAAATTAATCAGATTCATCTGGTATTTCCTACAAGAATTCTGATTCGTCCATTTTCCAACAGACATACTGGTTGAATTTACCGGAATTCTAATTAATGCAACCAGATTTTTTCTCAGTACGCGAATTAAAAATTCAGAATTGATAAATTCAAATTTTTTTAATTTAAATTAGTTAAAAAAATAATTTATCACGATATGAAAAAAAATTTTGTCAGAGACTAGCATTTAGAGATTAAAAAATAATCACCAAATTTATATCCTCAAAGTATTTTTATTGATAAATTTAAAATACTTTATATTTTAAAATTAAGTATATTATTACACATACTATTAAGAATTCCTATAAATTAAATTCGATAAATTTTAAAATATTAAAGCGTGTGAATATTATTAAACTAATAAATATTATTAAACTAATCATATATTAATTAATCATATATATTATTATACATATTAATTATTAACCAGAAAATTTGGTAAATTTAACGAAGAAATTAATCAGATTCATCTGGTTATTCCTACAAGAATTCTGGTTCGTCCATTTTCCAACAGACATACTGGTTGAATCTACCAGAATTCTAATTAACGTAACCAGATTTTTGTCTCAGTGTGAGATTTACATTTTAATTCTTAAAGAAACTTGAATTAAAGTCGAAATAAAAATCAGAAAAGCAGATTTTTCAAATAAAAATATCGATCCGTATCTCTTGTAGTATTTATGCCAGTGAATAACAGTATCTGTTCGAAGCCTCCAACACTCTAAATCCTACGTTAACTCGCCCGCCACCTACGTCTCCATACTATATACATCAGTAGGAGGTGTTTCATTGATGAGCAACCTCGAGCGATCGAGACGAGAGGTCCGAGTGACGTAGGAGAAGGAGAAAGAGAGAGCCAGGTGATTGTACGTATGTGTCTGTGGACCCGACGAGGCGGCGGCGGCGATTCATTCATATTGAAGAAAGATCTCAAACGGGAATAGCAAGAATTTTACAAAGTAGGCGCTGCTCGATCGCAGTCCCCCACAATTTAGGAGTGCCATTCCGAGAGTTCTCACGATACGAAGTGCATTTCTGATGCCTAAGAATCTTCAATCGAACGAGATCTGTCCAATTATTTACCTGATCTCCCGGCTTGATGCCTTTCACTAATTTGACGAAATACTTGGCGAATCGCTTGGGTTGAAGATGTCGTTCTGCCGATGGAACTTTCTTCAGCCAAGGTTTCTCGCCACCATCGAGAAAAATGATGGAAGGTGCGTAAGCACGGGCCACTTTGGAAATTACATTCATGAGCCTCTTTTGCTTCTCTTTGCCTACGTATTTATCAAGCAAGACGGGCGCCGATACATCAAAGAGTAATGCGCCGACCTAGCAAAGGACTCAATTAAGTCTTAAGTTAAATTAATTAGAAATCTGCTCTCTTTTAATCCTTATAATACTAACGTTTTTTCTTCCTTCGCTAAAGTTAATGAAGAAAATTGAAGAGATTGGGAAAACTCTACCTCTGAGCAGATTGCATTGGCGAGCAAGGTCTTTCCGGCTCCTGGTAACCCGTAGATGCACACTGAACGCACGAGTGGCGCAATTTGATGCGTTTCCTTGGAGATTAAAGGCAACACGCAATATTCTAAGACGAGCTGCTTAACTTCTCCCAGCCGTTCTTTGTAATCCCGTAACTCGCGACGCGCTTCGTAATTTTGATAGGAAAGATCACCGTGCCAATCGCGCAAGAAAACGATCTGATAGTTTCTAATAATATTGGCTTGCAACAGTTCATTAAAGAGGTCCTCGACGGCCACGTCTTCCAAAATGTCTTCCCTTTTCTTCTGTATTCTGACTGTGTCAGTGTCCTTCTTTATATCTGCAATTAATATCAAAATTGTAATATCTAGGTGAACAAATTTGAAGGCTAGTTTACGTTAAAATTTATTAAAGGTAACAACTGTGACTGATTATTAGCTCTTTATTGATCACCTTTGTCTACTTTTGCAGGTTTTTTCTTATCATGATCCTTCTGCAGAGCCTTATTTAGCAATTCTAGCTCAGCCCTCATCAGCTCATCCACGATCTCCCTCATTTCGAGCTGCAACTCGTGGCAAAGTTTCTCAGTAATCAAGTCCAAGTACTCTTCCTGCTCCGGATTGTCACTTTCGTCGCGAAGACTCCAGTTTCGGATGAAATCATCGTTGGCCTCCTCCAAACAAGTCAGAGCTTTCGTTCGCGGCATCTTCCAATCAAGAGCTTCCTGCTTGACAGGTTCAACTTTAACTTCTGGCATTTTTTCGGCCCTTCGACGCTTCTTCTTGGCTTGTTTTTCCTTTACTAGTTTTTCCATTAGATATTCCTCCGGCGTTGAGGTTTCCCCGGTCGCGATCAACACGCTGCCGCCGAGCTCCGCTGCCGGAAACGCATCATAATGTCCTAACGTGTCATACCAGATGACAAACCACTCGTGAATCTCATCGGTAATATCCTCCATCAACCCAGGGCCTCTAATTCTTAGTAGCTTTTGAAGGAAAATGAATCGTTTAAAATTATTCTCATCTTCTTTTTCTTTTTCAAGACTTATTTTTTCGTACCTTTTCTTTCATTTACTTATTAGAAATTTTGGTCGGAAAATTTACCCTCGTACGTTCCTCGCTGGTTGTCTTCTTAGTGTGCGCTTCGAATATGGGCATTAGAGCTCGTCGTCGCTGAAAATTCTCCTCGTCTTTTGCGATCGTTTTGCGACTCTGCCAGCTTGGTATAATCATACCCAGAGCCTCCTCGAGACGCGCGATTCGTCTCTTCATGGCTTTCCTCGCGGCGTATCGACGCCACGCACGTTGTATCGTTATCGCTGACTTGATGTACCTGGAGCGGTCTATTTTCCTTGGTACTATCATTCCGGATGCTATTTTCTTGTTGTAATCGAATATACGTTTCACTGCGAAAGATCTAGTATTAATAATTTTACACGAATGAGGACAATTGTATTAAGGAAAGCCGACAGATATTTGGATAACAAAGTTTTCCTTTATTATACAATTGAAAATATACTGTCTAAAAAAATCTTATACAAGGTGTCCCAGACTTAACGAATCAGCCGTTAATGGTAGATTCCTGAGGTCATTTGGAAACGAAAATCTTAATACCAAAATGTTGAGGAAGATGTAGTTTCGGCGCTATGAAAGATTAAGGATTACCAATCGTGTTATGTTTTCCTATTCTCAGGGACATAGCGCGTCAAGGGGCCTCACATACAGCACAATAATATCGATATCGATAGAGGGATGAATATAAAGTAAAAAATAGGATTCTAAAGTGAACGCGATTGTGTTTTTCATACGTCAGTAGTTTGGACATTTTTATAGTCTTTTTCAACATTTTGGTATTAGAATTTTCGTCTGCAAATGATCTTAGGAATCTACATTAACAGCTGATTCGTCAAGTCTGGGACACTCTGTATTTTTTCTAAATATACCATCTGCTCCGGTGCAGCGTCCCATCCTGGCTCTTTCATGGCTCTGTATCAATAATATTGCGCGGTGCATGGCTTTCTCGGCAGCGAGCTTTGCTTCTCGGGCGGCTATTTCTTCGGGCGATTCGCGGATTACTTCCATCTTTGAGGGAACAGCGCGCATTTTCCTTCGTGACACCCGCATCTTCAGCGTTTCTTCCCCCAGTTCGGTCATGCTTTCAATATGCAACTGCGAGAAACTCCGTTCTCTTACTGGTGGTGCTGGACGATTATAGGATAAAAGATTAGAAATTATTTTTAAAATTACAATTAATTTTCTTTAAATAGTGATAAATTGAAATAAATAATGATTAATTTAAATAAATATATTAAATAGTGATCAATTTAAGTAAATATTAAAATATCAAAATTTCAAATTTAGTTAAGTATACAGTTTCAAATTTAATTAATTGTAAGATTTCAAATTTAATTAATTTCTCTATTGCATTTGTTTTATTGACTCTTATCCCGAAAACAATTTCGTTATTAATTGAAATGATTTTGCGCACCTTTGTAGGCACTCTCCACCAACTCCTGAATAAACTTCCTGCGTTCCTCGAGACGCTCGCGGCCTGATACTGATGCAAACAGCTCGATATCATCCGGTGTAAATTTCATACGATTCAGGATATCGTCGGGCCATCTGCGTGAAAAATATTCTTAAATCGTATAGTGCGGAGATATTTAATTTTCACTTTCTTTAAATTGCGAAAAATATTTTTAAAATTATATTTGAATAAGCAAAGAGGAAGAGCGTACTGATAGTTCGTATAATCTAATTTGACGATTTCCTCCTTGTACTCCAGCATTCGCCCGATAGCACAATCTAACATTTGCTTGATTAACTCTCGTTTTTGCGTGTGCACCATTTGATCATAACACATGATGAGTCTTCTTACGATATTACGATATCTATGTGTATAATGAAATAATTTTATAATGAAATAATTTATATAATTAATTGTATTAATTTATATAATTTATAAATAATTTATATAAATAATTTATAAATAATTTATAAATACATATATAATTTATATTAGTAAAAAATATATCATATATAACGAATGTTTTTATAAAATCAATATATTTTTGAGCACGTACTTTAGATACATGGATAACGCAAAATTTAAAGCCACTTTTTTCTTTAGTGGCGTATCTTGTTGCTTTCGTTCGAGCTCCAACAGCTTTTCTAAATCGCTTCTCGTGACAAGCCATAATTCTGTGTAATAAACGTGGGACATTTCAGAATTGGACGTATATTTTAGGGAGATATAAAATAATAATAAGAAGAATTTGAAGTAGTTTTACACTCGCAATTTCGAATTTGTCAGTTCAAAACTGTGGTTATCGGTGATTGGCGTTTAAGAATGAATTTGCACGGAATGTCAACTGGAAACAAAATCGAAATCTTATTATTCTCTATAACTCGAAGCTTATTAAGATCTTCGGAGATCGAAATTTTAAGATAAAAGTTTCGAAAAACTTCAAAAATTATATCACAATAAATATATATTTATAAAATTATATGATAAAATGATCTGTTACAATTATATTGTTAAATTGAAAAATGTATCTGAAAATTTTGATTTTCAATAATTTATTTTCAATAATTTTCACTTTTAATAATTTATTAATAATAATTGATTTTTAAATAATTATTAAAAAATAAATAATAATAAATAATATTAAAATAATTATTAAATATTATATTAAAAATAATAATAATATTAATAATATTAATAATATTATATATTTTTAATATACTATTATTATTCTTTTTAAATAATAATAATTATTTTAATATTATAATTATAATATTATTTATTATAATTATTATTATTATTACACCTTTACAATATTTTCAATATTTCTTACAATTTGAATTTGCAAGAATATATTTTTCCAAGCTTCGAAGATACCTTAAACTTTAAATCTTCGAAATCTTCAAAGTTTCTTAAAAATAATAGTAATACTTTGCAGCATTATTTGTCACATTGCACAGAAGGTATCTTTTGTGATTGCAAATACAATATATTTATTAGTTTATTTATTTATTTATTTATTTATTTACAATATATTTATTACATGCTCTTTTCCAGGATGCCGAGACCATTTCGAAGCTTGCTCGTTTTAACGTTGATAATGACAGCGTCATGTCTCGATGTGACGGAGAACGACGCCAGGACGACAACGGAGACGTCTACGAGTGCATCTAGAGTAACGACAATCGCCACCGAGGAAAATGCATCGCCGTCATCCTCGTCGTCTTCTCCCTCCGATGCGGTTTGGGAGTGTCCGAATATCACAAAAGCGGGCGTGGAGTGTTCCTGCGACTTTCCACACACGCTCAGATGTACCGGCGACAGAACGACGTTGCAAGTAATTGCGAATGACAAAATTAATCAAATGTTATTGAGACAATATTGATTTAGAGAAATTAAAAGATTAAGAATTATTTTAATTTATTTAATTTAATTAAATTATTTAATTTAAATATATTTAATTTAAATATATTTAAAAATCCTCGATCTTTGTAAGACAAAATAATATCCTTTCAAGTCAGATTGAAGGACAATCTCTTATATTAGTGTAACGAATTAAATGTTTTCGAAAATCTTGCAGATATTTAGATGTGTAATTTAAAAAAATCTTGAAAATCCTTAATTTATCTGTAACTTAATTGTACCGACGACAATTGCGTACAGAATGACGTTGCAAGTAATTGACGAAATTAATCAATATTATTGAGTAAAGCAATATTGATTTAGAGAGATTAAAAGATTAAGAATTATTTTAATTTATATTTAAAAACTCGAATTTTTATAAAAAATAATATCCTTTCAAGTCAGATTAAAGGACAATTTCTTATATTAATGTAACGAATTAAATGTTTTCGATAATTTTGTGAATATTTAAATCCCCGATAATTACAAAAAATGCTTTAACTCGAACAATAATTTATTCAAATTAAATTCATATTATAAAGTTGAAATTAATATTTCCTCGAGGAAAATTTCGAAAGACACCGCGGAATGAGATGTAAGCTCAATCTCTGATGTTACGCTTCGCGGCGCAATCGAGGTCGTTACTTTTTAAGCAACGGTCAAGAAGGACGTGGGTGGCATAGACTGCCAATGAAATACAAGTCGCATACATATATTATTCAAGAATCCATTGTGCTCACTTCTCTTTTCCTCTCTCGTTCTCGTCTCTCTCTCTCTCTCTCTCTCTCTCTCTCTTCCTCTCTCTCTTTTTTTTCTCATTCGGTCTCTCTTGTTTTGCGTACATCCGGTTCGCTGCGCGAATATTCCGTTATCATATTTGTCGATATTGCGATAAATATCTTTCATAACTCTCTTTTTGTGAATCTATTAAAAAATTTAGAATCAGAAAAGACGCGATAATAGCCAAGTAGATTAAATATATTGATTTAATCCTTCGCGTCATGATACGTCGCTCAGCGACTCATCTTTTTCTTCGTAGCTTTTCATTTTTACAACTATTTTTTTTTAACAATACCGGATTTCTTGTTTCTACAGAATATTAAGAACATTAAGAATATTAATAAATATAAAAATAATATGAAGTCATTAATTGTTAATTGCAAAAATAAGATATATGATGAGAAAACAAATAGTCAAAATTAGTACTTTCTTACGGAGAAATGCATTTTTCACTAATCTATTAAGAAAATAAAAAGGGAAATTTTTTTAATTGAGTAGACTCTAAAGTATTTTTCAGAATTTTTTCAGAATTTTCCGCCATGTTTTTGTTATTTATTCTGTATAAAAAATACAATATTTTCTGTACTAAATCCAAACTGACAATTGTATTTTCTTAAAACTTTCTCTTCGAGAGTTTTTTGATCAGAATCCGAATCTGAAGGAAAAATTTATAATTTTCCATATTGGATTCGCCATATTGAATTTTTTGAAATCGAAAATTTTCACGTTAGATTCAAATTCGGCGATCAAAAAACCCCTGAAAAATGGATTAAAAAATTTTGGATGTAAGGACAAATATATATGGCTGAAAGGGTTAATTTGATATTTCACATAGATGAAAACTTGTAAATGTATTTATCGAGAACAACTGTTCGTATATCTTTCAGATTAAACTGTCATAGAAAGTCGATTACAGGAAAATGTACAATTTATACATCAATTTTGAGGTAGAGAGAGAGGGGTAGATATAGAAAGATAGAGGATAAGAAAGAATGAAGAGATTTCTTATTGTCTCTACTGTTGCTTTGCCTCAGGTCATCAGCGAACATTTAAAACGTAGTCGACCGGACATGATATCGCTGCTGGATGTGACCGTGACAGGGATCTCCGTGTTGCCAGCACGCTTCTTCGAGGACGTCGCGCTTCATGGGTTGGTCGTCTCTACTGGTGAACTGAAACACGTCCACGAGAACGCGTTCACAGCGTTGACACGGCCGTTGCAGGCGCTTGGATTGCCCAATAATCTTCTGGACTCGGTTCCCACGACTGCGCTGTCGCACTTGGTCGGTTTAGATCGACTGGACCTGTCCCATAACAAATTGAAGACATTAGAAGCGGATTCGTTCAAGGTACGGCTAATTAAGCGATAGGTAATTTATGTATAAAGTGTTTAATTTTTATAAATATCACCAGTAAGTGATGGAAATAAATTTAATAAAAGGAACGTTAAGGATGTTTTGTATGTACAATCCCAGCAAAAAGTAGCTGAAAATCAATATTGACGAATATATCCACTTTTGGTGTATTTTGAATAAAAAATTGTGTGAAATATTACAATTTGATCTTAACTACAGTGCAGAGATATATTTTTTAATATTTATTGCGTTTTTATTGAAATATTCCGAATTTTGTGAATCGAAATGATTAACTTTTGGCAGAGAATTTCGCCTTGTAACAGATACATAGCTAACTTCATTGAATTATATTTAATATCTTTTTAACCAGTTAGTACTTGTATAATATTATTTGACCAAATATTTCCTCTGTATCTAAACTTTTGCAAATTTTAAACAAATTCTGAATATTATTTCCATGTGTTTTTGTCATTTGAACCGACGTGGTTATACGTTTCCCATAAGAATACATGTTAATTCGGTGCAAATTAAAATCCTTATAACTTGTGAACGCTTTAGTGAATCGATTTAAAAATTGTACTGAAGATTCTAAACATATGTAAGGACATTCTGTACAATTTTCATTAAATTCTCAATATTTTAAAAATAGGTACAAAACATCCTTAATATAAATAGAAGGAAATTATTATTGGGATGTAATTGAATTTTATTTTATTGTACCATTTAAAAAATGCGTTTCGATTTAAATTTCATTAAAGGAAAGAATTAAATTCAGAAATTAACCCAGCAAACACCAAGTAACATTTATATAACAGTTGGTTGTAATTTCTCACTCAGCAATATAACTGTTACATGTTATGTAACTGTTACATAATAGTTATGTAATTGTTATTTAGTGTTTGCTAGGAAAGAATATAAATCCTAGGAAACACAGAATATTGCAGCAATGTTGCGGCAATATTGCAAGATTGCAGCAATGTTGTTACAATATTACACTGCATTTCTCATTCAGCAATATAACTATTACATGTTATGTAACTGTTACATAATAGTTATATAATTGTTATTTAGTGTTTGCTAGGAAAGAATATAAATCCCAGGAAACACAGAATATTGCAGCAATATTGCAAGATTGCAGCAATGTTGCTGCAATATTACATTGCAGCAATGTTGCTGCAATATTTTGTGTTGGATGGATTATAAAAAACAGTAAATTATAAAATAATTATTATAAACATATAATAAAGAGATAAGAACGGTTTTGAGAAAATTGGTTTTTGAAAGAGCAACAGAACGTTTACGGTTTCAGGGACTGTCAAGCCTGACTTATTTGGACTTATGCGATAACCTGTTGTCACAATTGTCACCACAAGTTTTCCTAGCATTGCCAGTGTTGCGTTCGCTGAGAATGCGCGGAAATCGCTTAAGCGTTGCTGCACTATCCGCGCTCAGAGGTCTCAAGCGCTTGGAGGAACTGGATCTGTCGAGTAATTTGTTGCTAGGCCCAATGGGTCCCAATCTGCTGCCACTAATGCCTAAATTGCACTTCCTCACCGTGTCAGAGAATGGCCTTGTCAACGTTCAGCAGGGAGCTCTCATGGGTCTCAAGAATCTTACTTATCTGAGTCTGAGTCACAATCAGGCAAGTGGTGGCTTAATTCAAGTTAGACTTTGCTTGAAAGAGTAATAAATGAAAATATTTTTAAAAAGTTAAGTTTAAGCTAATTATTGTTTTAATTTGCTCAGATCGACGTGTTGGAGGATCATTCGTTCAAGTACTTATCGACCTTGACGCGGTTGGATCTCGCAAATAATCGCATAGTTGCCGTATCCAGTGCCTCTTTAGCGCATTTAGAGAAGCTAATCACATTGGATTTAACGCACAACTTTTTACGAGCATTGACGGCCGATCTAGTGGTGCCGCTGAAGAGTCTACAAGACTTACGATTGGACGATAATGAAATAACGATCGTGGCGAGCGACGTGTCAACGTCAAAGCTGCGTCTTAAGAGACTCTCGCTCGCCGACAATCCGTTAAATTGCGACTGCACCTTACTAGAATTCGCCAACTGGCTGGCAAACTCCAGCGTGTTGGAGGAAGACAAGTCATCGGCGGTGTGCGCGACACCGCCCGCTCTGGAGAACGGCATCCTGACCCAAGTACCACCTGGCAGTCTGCTCTGCGGTGAACCCACGCCGCCCATGATGACTCGAGTGCCGCTGGCAGGAGTGCAACTAAGTCTTAAGGAGTTCCGTTATGACGAATCGACCGGCATCAATCTATTGTGGCATATGGAGCAATGTACCGAACATTACACCTGCGACTCACTCATCGTTTACGAAACAATCGATGACAGCGAGATGCGGACGGAATCTAGCCCGTTGCATTGCGATTCCCGGATGATGCGAGATCCCTGTACCCTGCCGGTCGCCATACCAGCCTCTGTGCACCTAAAATTAGGTCACAAGTACCGTTATTGCGTGGTCCTGCTGGTACCTACAGCCTATGACATGTCTCTCGGTCTCGGCTGTAGCGATGTCATCGTCTTGGAGGAAACCCTGGAGCGGCGAAAGATAGCGACGGAAGAGCAGTTGCCAAGCGAAGAGGATCATTCCTCGATGTCCTCGACACAGTCGTCTTTCGGCTCCGATCCCCGAATCACCGGCGTCCACGTGAACGTATCCGACAAGGGTTACCTACACGTGGACGTGGTTCTCTCAAGAATGAAGGAGACGAACCTCGCGTCTACCTGCGAGCTGTCCGTCGTCGTGTTCGACGCAATTTCCGCGATTCATCGGCAAAGGCTCAATTGCAGCTTCGCGTTCGTCACCGACGTGGAGGTGTCGTTGCCAGGTTATTACAAGGTATGCGCGAGTCTGGATGAACTAGCTGACGTGACCGTCGTCTCCTCGGCAACCGGCAACTTGGTGGACGATCGCGAGAGATTTCGTTGCGTCGAGGTGGTCGAGCAGGACTACAGCAGACAAAACGCCGAGGTGTTTGTGGTGATGGCCGTGGTTGCCGTGACCGGTGTCTTCCTGATCGCCCTTGCTATGCTCGGTCGGAGCATCGTTAAACGATTGCGGCATCCCAGGATTCAGGCGCAATGTTTTTTGCCAACTCAGGAATTCGAGATCACCCACAAGGCGCATTACATCAAGCTTTTGGCCACAACCAAAGTTTAGCGCCTGATGGAATCAGCAACGTCACATGAAGAATATTGCAACAATATTGCGGCAATATTGCGGCAATATGGCGGCAATATTGCAATGTTACGATAATAATAATATTGCTGCAATATTCTGTGCTGTATGAGATTGTTTATGTAGAATTAAAAATTTAGAATTTAAAAACTCGAAAATGTAGATACATATACGTGCACGGATTTTACCCAGCAAACTCTAAGTAACATTTTATATAACATTTATATAACCGTTAGTAATTTTGTAATTTTTCACTCAACAATATAACTGTCACATATTATGTAACTGTTACATAACATGTAACAGTTATATTGTTGCATGCGAAATTATAACTAACAGTTATATAATTGTTATCTGGTATCAGTTATATAACTGTTCGTTGGGTAATGTACGATTCAATCTACATAGGAACTCAGCAAACGCCAAATAACAGTTATACAGTGTCTCAAAAGTCTCGGACCGGTCGAATATTTCATAAACTATGCACTTTAGAAAGAAATGTTTCAGACAAAAGTTGTATGGCTTGAAGGGGGCCATCAGATAGTGGCAATGATTTGACATGGAAGAGTCATTTGAAAGTCACGTAAAGAAATCGTCAATTTTTTAAATGGAACCACCTATTTTTTATTAAATATTCTGATAGCTCATGTCGAGAGCTTTTCAAAACACTACAATTAAGTTAGTTTTCATTAAGTACTTTCCGAGTTATGAGGCTTGAAATCATTTCTTAATTTTATATAAACCATAAAATATCTTGTGAAATATTCATTTTTCGATTATCTTACCTTAATAATTTTATGTACAAAATAATGAGAGAAATCAATTGGTGTAAAGAAAAAACATAGTTGTTTTTAAGAAAATAATAATCAATTGGTGTAAAGAAAAAACATAGTTGTTTTTAAGAAAAAAATATGTAATTTGCAATTAACAATTACATTTTTTTTTTTAAACAACTATGTGTTTTCTTTACACCAATTGATTCCTCTCATTATTTTGTACATAAAAGTATTAAGGTAAGATAATCGGAAAATGAATATTTTATTAGATATTTTATGGTTTATGCAAAATTAAGAAATGATTTTACACGAATATGTAATAAAAAATAGGGAGTTTCATTTAAGAAATTGAAGGTGATCTTTACGTCACCTTCAAATAACTCTCCAAGGTCAAATCATTGCCACTATCTGATGGCCCCCTTCAAGCCATACAACTTTTGTTTAAAACATTTCTTTCTAAAGTGCATAGTTTATGAAATATTCGACCGGTCCGGGACTTTTGGGACACTCTGTATAACATGTTATATAACAGTTATATTATTGAGTGAAAAATTACAACTAAGTTATATACCCAGCAAACACAGAATATTGCAGCATTATTGCGGCAATATTATAGCAATGTCGCGGCAATATTTTGCGTTTGGTGGAATAAATGTTACTTGGTGTTTGCTGGGAATATTTGTAAAGAGCCCCAGATTAAATATTTTTCGATCTATCGATATAAAAACGTAACAAATTACTTCTAAAATAGAATATTCTACATCTCAATATTTTTACATAATTTTAATCAAATAGAGGGAGAGAGAAATAAAAAAAAATACCATAGACGCAGACTCGAGATCTGCGAACGATTTTGAAAGAGGAAGGATTATTTCTTCATTTTGTAATATATATATGTACTAATGCCATCTGTATGTTTTACATGCTGTAAATATGTCTTTCTAATACGTGCATTGTTGTAAAGTAATAATTATATTATATATAATTATAGTTTATATAATTACTATATTACTAGCAAGTATTTCGTTTTTGTTACTAAAATATCGAAAGACACACGAATGCGTCTCATAGAGAAACGAATATAAATAAATTCTTGTTTAACATTTCGCGTCTTGATTATTTTTCTCATCCCTTTAGTCAATATAGGAAATTATAAAAAAATATTATTTTAAAATATTATTTTAATTTAAGTAAATTAAAAAATATAGTTTATTTTATTTAATTTATTAATGTATTAAATATATAATATTTAATATATAATATAATATATAATATATACATATTTAAAATAATTAAAATATATATATTATGATTACACAATTATTATTAATTATTATTTTTTATTAATTGACTGCTTTCTCAATAAATTCCATCTTGCAACCAAAGTGTAAAGTTTTGCGCGGTAAATTTGAAGAATGACGCAGTCATCTCATTATTATCAATGTAACAAACAAGTGAAGAATCTAGGTAATTTGCATAGACATTTGTTTCGATAATTTACGATATAAAGACGTCTTTTCAACAAAAAATAACGAATTGATATCTTTATTTTTAATCACGTGATATCTTTTGACGCTAAAAATGAGCGTCAAGCGTCCCATGAATTTATATCTTAGGGAATATCATAGGTCTTTATACTTGCAGAGAGAAGACTGAGAGATGTCATGGCTCGCTGATTTCTGGAAGCGATACTCCCTCTGTAGACATTAAAAACGTGGACATAAATAACAAAACCAATGTCCACGAATGTTTTATATTATCAGAAGGTAACATATATGTCCCTCTGATAATATAAATAATATAAATAATTTAATTAATAATAATTTATTATATAAAAATATGATATTAAATATCTGTTCAAAGGAAATAAAAATATAAATTGAGCGTAATAATTAGTTTCTCAAAATCAATGATTTTGAACACTTTACTTTATAAAAGATCTGTAAAAGTACCATTTGATTGCATACTTAATTTGTGCTTGGGGTTTATATTTTTAACTGATAATCAGACAAAGTTCTTGAAATTGTAATTAATATTACTACGAATCATTTTCCTCTTTCTCTTTCTTAACCCTTTTCGTCCCAAATGTCCATAATTTCTTCTCAACTTTTGACTTGAACGTCATTGAAAAGAATTGAAAAAAGACATTTCTTATAGTTTGAAACCTCCTCTTTCGAATGCCGTGATCAGAATCAACCTACGAATTGACGGAAAAAAGTTATAACTGTTTTTTTTTTAAATGTCAATTTTTTTCGACGCCGTTTCGCAAAAATCCTATATTTTGACAACGAAAAAGTTATTCCTGACCATCGCAAAATATCGTAATCGCGTATATTTTACATGCCCTTTTTTATCCCGTCGGAATTTTTTTGAAAAACAAAATGGCGATTTCAAGATGGAAACATAATATCTGACTAATTTGAAATTAAGAATGAGTCATTTTGAGGTTAGATATTCACAAATGATAATCCCCACTCTTTCATTCAATTTCATCAAGTTTTCAGTCATAGATGCGAAACGGAAGAATAATCGACATTTGTGCAAAAAAATGAGGAATTCTGAATTGTCAGCTATCTTAAAGCCAACATTTTGTTTTTTAAAAAACTTCCAACGGGATAAGAAAGAGCATGTGAAAAATACGCGATTACATTTTGCAATGGTCAGGAATAACTTTTTCGTTGTCAAAATATAGGGTTTTTGCGAAACGGCGTCGAAAAATTGACATTTTTTTTAAAAAAACAGTTATAACTTTTTTCCGTCAATTCGTAGGCTGATTCTGATCATGGCATTCGAAGGAAGAGGTTTCAAACTATAAGAAATATCTTTTTTCAATTATGTCTTCTTTCAACGACGTTCAGGTCAAAAGTTACAGCGTCGAAAGTTGAGAAGAAATTATGGACATTTGGGACGAAAAGGGTTAAAACAAGAAAATTATTTAAATGTCTTATTTATGTAATAATTATGACATATATGTAGATATTATACAAAAAAAATTTTAACTTAACAAAATAAAATAAATAAATTTTTAAAAATATGCTTATTTCGTTATTGTTTTTAGTCTGACAGTCAAATTGCAAAGTCGAGATTAATATAAAGAATCGTACATCAATCGTATAATAAATTAATCAATAATTTAAAATACTTCTCTAAATTAATCAATAATTTACTTTAATCAATAAAATACTTCTCTAAATTAATCAATAATTTAAAATACTTCTCTAAATTTAATATTTTGCATATATATATATGTATAATATATATGTAATAATTTATAAAATATTTTTCTAACAAATTAATGATAATACTGCATTTGATCTTTATGACATATAGAGTAATGATATTCAAAAGACATTGTTTTGGTTCTCGTATCATTCGCGCAATGATACTTGAACAGAAAAGTAACGCGAGAAGCTCCGTCAAATTCCTTTTCTAAACGCGATTGATTTGATAAATACATTGAGAAATAATTTGATATGATGAATACTTAATTTTATATATGTTAAATAATACGTAAAATTACGTCGCGATGATAGATCTCGAAATGCATATTTCGCGATGTATAAAATTTAATCGAGAATCGATTAAGTGATACGAATTCAAAATATTAAATAATCATTTCGATCATTGCGATCTTACGGACAATAATTATTATTTTAATACTTCAAGTCAAATATATTTCATTCGCGTTTTACTTTATCGTTCTACTTGACAATCTAAATATAATTTAGATTATGAAAGGATACGAAATAAAATAATCGAATTATAAATGCAAATAATTAGCATAACGAAAGACTTCATGATGAATAGTTTAATAAATAATCAATTAATCTTAATCAATTAATTAAAATACTTCTATAATTTAATATTCCTCGCGCAAAAATTTTATATTATAGAAAATATTTCGGCAACGAGAGAATTATCAATAACACCGTGTTCGATCTTGATAAACAGAATCGCGTTATTGTTAATATGTTACATGGCTTTATTATCATTTGCACAGTGAGTAGTGACGTGAGAGACGTTTCACATATTATCAAATTCTTTCTTTATATAGTCAACCTTGGCAATACAAACAATACCGCAGTAATGTTTCTGACTTACGATTATTCGCTCAGTGCCTCTTGAGCAGTGATGCGAGACGTTTCATATATTATCAAATTCTTTCTCTGAACTCAATTGCAAGTGTAACGAGGAACTTTTCGTGAATGAGTGTAAGTGTAACGAGGAATTAAAATGAATGCAACGAGGATTGAAGTGCCACAAGGAAAAAGCGAAGAAAGCAAAAGAAAAAAAGGAGATTTTGTAAATGGATGGACCAATAAGATATGATGTAAGTCATTAATATAAATTATTTATCACATTCATTATTTATTATATTGTTGCGTCCCCGCATCCCGTCCTGCTGAATGTATTCGTCACCCGTTGAATTCTTTCAAAGAAGATCGTTTCCGCGCGCGTTGTCAAGATATTGTTATAAACGACTGTCAAAGAGTCTGAGCCCAGCTGTCAAGTTGTGCAGACGCGCGTCTATTTGTGATCCATTTTATGATTATTTTGAATTCTTGTATGTTACCCGCGGTTTATTAAAATTCTTGTGCACTTTAAATTGCGTTATTATTTACAAGTGCACGAACGTCAGCGTATGCCGAAAAGTTTACATTTAAACAATATAAATTATTTTATGATTACGCAATTCATAACATTAAAATATATCTATTTAAAAGTAAAAATGTAAAAATTAATTCCGCGCAATAATTAGTTTTAAAATCAATTATTTTGAACATTGCTTTATATAATAGATTTTCTCTTATCTTTTATATTTTTATTTATCGTTTA